TTTTAAATTTCAAATCTAATATTTTAAATTTAAATAAATTTTTGTTTAAATTTTTATATTTAATTTTTTGTTTTATCAAACCCGTATAACATACGGGTTTCACACCTAGTTATATAACATATCCTCCCTAATAAATAAAAATAATTTTGGCACATGTCATCTTCTCATTAACTTGGACACATGTCATTTTTTGGTATTTCTGAATAAAAATGTTTTTCCATTTGTCATTTTCTCATTTTTTTTATATTTTCTTAATTAATACATCATATCTACACCTCAATTAATAATTGTCTTGATTAAAAATAACTAATAAATTACAATATTACTACTCATATAGTATTTAATATGTTTCCTTTTAAATTTTAAATTTCAAATCTAAATAAATTTTTGTTTAACCATTCATATTTAATATTTTTGTTTTATTCAACCCGGATAACATACGGGTCGCACACTAGTTTAGTTAATTTTTTACTTAAAAACATGTATATATATGGAAGGTAGAAATTGGGCCGGAAGGAGTAGATGTGATGCAGGAAGTTGATTTGGTGGTAGTAGGTGAAAGTGGAGGGAAGATAGATTATTAGGCTAAAGGGAGTGGAGGTGTTAAGGGAGGTGTCAAAGAAAATGTTAAATATGTTATACCACTTCCTACCTTATGCTAAGGAAGGTGCTAAGAAAGGGGTGCTATGTGTGTGGTGAGAAGAGAGAGGAGAGAGAAAGTATGAATGTGTGTTGTGATTGGTTAATTTGTATTTCTTTATACATTTTAATTTTTTTTCTTCAAAATTAAACCTATTAAATTGTCACACTTCCACTCCCTACTTTTTTATGCAAAACATGCTAAGCCTATTGTGCCATAAAAAAAACTAAAAAATCCTATGTGACAACATGCTAAAAGTGTTACCACTCCTTTTAGCCTTAAGATATACATACATCAATAGTTATTCCACACGTCTTAAGTGAATGCACCATTATGATTAATCAACATTTCACATGTATGTATGGATCATCCAAAACAACTTTTACAACGAACTATATACACAAAATATAGCATAAAACAATATTGTTCGCATTTAGTTAGCGATTCACATTAGGTTGGGGATACGAACGATTGCATGGGAGACGCTCACAATCGGAAATATATACAACAAACTATGTGCATTAATAATCAGTGGCAGATCCAAAAAGAAAAACTAGGGGCTGCACAAAATCTTTAGCGGTTGCATTACTAAAAAAATGTTTCCGAAAGAAGTTTCTGTCACAAAATCGTCACTAAACCGGTGAATTTACACTAAATTTATAATTATCAGACTTTGTGATGGATTGCAGACAGATTAATGAAGGATTTTAGAAAAAAAAAAACCGAAATTTATATTTAACGGGAAAATTGGAGGGGTTGCCCGGGCTACCCTGGGCTACATAGTAGCTCCTCCCCTGCATTAAGTTAGAAATTTGCATTAAGTTGGGTATATAAATTGTGTGGAGGGAAACACTCATGTTCATAAATATACGAAGCAAATGTTTCGATAGGTTTGTGCTTAAATTCTTCACGAAAGTTATTGCCATTGAACATTTGATGATGCCTAGCCCATAAAATGTTTGTGTTGCATCCCCGATTTAATTTAAAGTGGAGAATGTATTAATTCATAATTATATATTAACCTTATCGATCGTTCTTTATCTTATTCTTTTTAAAGGTTTTTTTTTCATTATATATATATATATATATATATATATATATATATATATATATATATATATAGAGTCAAGATCAAATAATAAGGAAATTTTGGTCGGAGGTACCAAGTTTTTTTTTCTACATAGTTTTTTCGCGAACAAACAAAATGAATCATTACATATTCATTGTAAGATGATTCATAAGAAAAAATTCTCAAAAAACAGCTCGATGATTTATTTATACAATAATTTCGTTGTTATTCACTAAAATGTCATAAAAATAATTTTTTTTTAATACTTTAAAAATGAATCATAAAGATGTTTTTTTTGGAATTTTTTCTTGTGAATCATCTTACAAATGAATTATCTAGTGATTCATTTATTTTGTTCGTCAAAAAAATATGTAGAAAAAAAAACTTATTACCTTCCTACCAAAAAAAATTTCTTACCGGATGTATATATATATATATATATATATAGATATATATATATATATGTTCTATGGAAAACAAAAAAACCCTAAAAATCATTAAAATGCATAAAAAAATACTTAGAGATCACTAAACTTTTTTTTGAATTTTTTTTATCAAAAAATCGCAACTTTTAGGTCAAAATCGCTGAAAAAAAAATTTGAAAATTTTTTTTTTTTTTACAGAAAAAAAAAATTGATTTTTTATTTTTTTTTCAGCGAAATTGTAAAAAATGCTGCGATTTTTTGATAAAAAATTCAAAAAAAAGTTTTGTGATGTCTTGGTATTTTTTTATGCATTTTTATAATTTTTAGGGTTTTTTTAGGTTTTTTTGTTTTCCAAATAACCTTTCCCTATATATATATATATATATAGATATATATATAATATATATATATATATATATATATATATATATCTATATATATATAGATATAAGATATATATATATATAGATAGAGAGAGAGAGAGAGAGAGGGGGGGGTAAATCCAATTGAGAAAAAATAAAAAAGGTTGAGAATTGAGGAATCATTCTCAGCCACTCATTTATTTTTGCCGCAAAAGTCACTATGGTACCGACGGAAATGGAAAAGAAATACACATGTGTTTTCCAACAAAACATGTTTCCTTAAACTATGTTAATCATTACCTAAATATATTCAAAAACATAGTTTTTTTTCGTTTTTTAATTTTTAAGCAGCTATTTTTATCGAAAAATGATTTTTAAATATATCAAAATTCATAATTTTTTATTTTTTACAAATAGATATCTATATTGATATAGTTATAAGATAAATTAAATTTTTTTTTTATAGTTTCAGTTATCGTTATTCATAAGTGAATAGAAATGCATCAGATTTTTACTACAGTGCATTCATTATTTACTTATGAATAAAAAAATATTTTTAATTTTTTTTACGGTTTAAATATCATTTATACTACTTATTCATATATAAATAACAACATAACTATAACAAAAATCTGATAAATGTTTTATTCATATATGAATATAAAATATGATGACAACTAATATACGTTTTATTCATATATAAATATAAATATAACGAAATATGATGTAAAAAATATATTTTAAGTAAGAAAACTTTATTACGTGTTATATTCATATATGAACGATACTCAAACTATAAAAAAAATTAAGCATACGTTTTATTCATAAGTGAATAACGAATGTACTGTAATAAAAATCTGATGAATTTTTATTCACTTATGAATAATGAGAGCTAAAACTCTAAAAAAAATTATTTTATCTTAAACCATATCAATATGGATGTCTATTTATAGAGATTAAAAAATTATGAATTTTGATATATTTAAAATAATTATTCGATAAAAATAGCTTTCTAAAAATCAAAAAAACAAAAAAAAAATGTTTTTGAGTATATTAAGGTAATGATTAGCATAGTTTAAGGAAACATGTATGGTTAGAAAACACATGTGTATCCGTTATCCATTTC